AAAATATTTTTTTTTCCAAATAAGGGTAATTATATCCAGAAAGATTTTCAACCTTTCCTCTGACTTAAGTCTGTTGTATTTCTAACGGCAACACTGCCCCCTAGTGGAAACAACTTTCATAGCCGATTCTCTTACTGCCTGTATGTAAGCATGAAACAAAAACTTAAGCTGAATGAGTTCTTATCTTACTTCATTACGTAATATATGACTGTAAAACCGGAAGAGTCATTGTGATGTGGTGTCCTGTGATTGGTTGATTCTCTTGAGACCAGGTCTGCACAGCTCAGGCTGGCCTTGCAGAAACTTGCTATATGGCCGAGGTTGACCAGCAACCTCTGATTCTCCAGCCCCCCCCCCCCCAAGGCCTGCACCGCAGGAGGGGGCGCCACCACCCCTGGTGTTGAGTGGCCCTGGGAACTGAAGGCAAGGCTTCCTGCATGGTAGCGCCTCTGGCCCAGCAGGGTATTCTTCAGTTTTCTTTACCATTCCGTTAAACGTACTGAAAGTATACGTTTATGTTGCGGGACATTTCCAGACCCAAATTTCACAAACCATCTGCTCCCTAGAGGCCTCTCAAAGGTGTGGAAATGGAGCTATCTATATTCTAGGTCTGCAACTGATTTGTTCTTTGTCTGAAATTGAAGGTATTCCTCCCATAGCTTTAAGATCAGCCCCCCTTCCCCGCTCTTTTTTTTTTTTTTTTTTTTTTTTTTTTTTTTTGTGAATAACTAAAAAGGTAAAACATCCCAGACAGCTTTTGTAAGGAGAGGCGGTGTCCATGCTGCAGAGCAAAGCTTTCGTGAGGCGAGAAGTCAGAGGCCAGAAGTCAGCCCCAGGCTGAGCCACGGTGTGTGAGTCAGCCTTAGTGACTGTCTTTGCAAATGAAATGGTGTTGGTTAGTAATCTAACCCTGTTACCTGATGAGAATGGAGCCTTTTTTCTGGAGCCTTGCTGTCAAAATGGATTAAGTTTGCACCCTGCACAGATTCCTCACACGCATTTTGCACGAATAAATGTTATCATCTGCTACCATGATCATCATGGCTGGTGCGAAGCTCTGTGCTATTTACCACTTTCTTCGAGCGGCGTTTCAGAGAACTGATTGCCTTCTTACAACTACTGACCGCTTCCAGAGTGGACTGTGTGCTCTTTCTGATAACAGGTGAAGGAACTCCCACTCGGCTTCAGGCTTTTCTCTCCCACCACAGTCCAGGCTGCTCTTCACAGAGAGTCCACCACCCACCTGACCGGAAGTTAGTCCCCTCCCTGCAGGATTAGACTCTGATCAAGATTCCCACAGACCGCACAGTGAGCATGTCTCACTCTCTTTGTGTCTTACATGGAAAGGTAGAAATTTAAAGTGCTACCTACCTGAATGCGAAAGAAAAAAAAAAAAAAACATATATTTTAAAAGGGAACAGTTGATTCTGACTTCCACGGTACAGTATTTGTGGTGAGAAATCAAGACATCAGGCGCTTGGGGCAGCGGATCACACCACATCAACAGCCCTAAAAGTCATGAGTGTGTCTGATGTGCAACTCACGTTCCCCATTTGATATAGTCTGGAATTCCCTGCCCCAGGAATGGTCCCACGCACAGTCAACATGGGTCTCCCTGCACCCACGAATAAAATCAATACAGCACCCTGCAGGCGAGCTCAGGGACCAGCTCCCCAGCAATTCGAGATTCTGTCAAAGTGGACAATTAAAACCAACATGCACATCTTTTTGAGAACTCACAATACAACTCTTCTGTTTGGTGCCTTTCTTTTCAACTTTTTAAAACACCTGAACACTGAGATGCTGAGAGTAAATATGGATCATATTATTATCTCTAAAACACAGCCCCAGGCCCACAGATATTTGAAACAAAAACCGGTGAAAATGAGAGTAGACGTGTCATAAGGGACAGGCAGCCAGACCAGCAAGTCCTTCCTAGTTTTCCATCTCAATCTCTAGACAATATTTTGTCGCCTCCCCCTCTCTCTCCTCACCTCCATCCCTTCCCCCTCTCTCTGTTGGGGGTGCACATAGGTGTGAATGCATGTTTGCATGAGGGAGCGCATGCAGACTGATGCCACATGTCTGCTTTTGCAGCTAACCCTTTGTGGCACAGTCTGTCCAGCAAGCCCAGAGTTTACATCGCCAGCTGTCTCTGGCGATCCTTGTCCTACTTTCCGAGGCTACCATCACTTAAGTTCAATTTTTTTTTTTTTTTTGTTGAAGGATGAAATTATGCCCATTATTAAATTAAGGATGTGAGCCTTGGTGAACAGTTAAGTGTTTACCAAGTGTCTGTCATAACTAGTTTTAGTCAAATGTGTGTCCGTATTTTACCATCTGTAGACAGGAGGTGTAAGCACAATCCAATTCTGAAGGCTCTAATATGGTAGCATTTGCCATGTTTGTAAACATCGTGGGAACAGACACAGGAGCCAGGATTTATGCTCAGAACTATGTGAATCAGGCACGCTCACTCCAGATCCAATGCTTTACGGCAGAATCACTGAGGGAAGGAGTGCCGAAGAACCAACCATGCATGCTGTGAGGGATGGCCTGGGTTTTGTGTGGTTCATTTTCTGGGATGCTGTGTGGAAACGAGTGACTTCCTATTTCAGTAAGATCCTTTTTGTGAAAGTCACGAAGGGCGCATGGTTGGTCTTTGAGGGGAAGTTTGGCAGAATAACGGCAGTGGTGTGGTGTATGTCACCCAAACGCCGCTCGAATTACAGGGAAATACCTTCACTCCAAGCCAGGGAAAGAAACCGATCGCTCTCGTGACGACACGGACCTAAATGGACCGCAGGTATCGAAGGCTGTGGGTTTGTAGGCCACGTCAGACACCAAGCACATTCACAGGGCTACATGCTTAGACGGAAGAGAGCACCGCTCTGTCTGGGGCCCTCCCCCTTTCGCTGCCTCACTGAAGCCTTTGCGGCTCTAGTCCCAGGGATGTGCTCTCTCCCGGGCTCTCTTGGGTGTTGCCAGTATTGGTGCCTCCTGGAACCAGCCAGCTGTTGGTCAGCTCTCTATAGTCTTTGAACTATGCCACTTCTCTCAGAGCTTTACGCTCTCCCGTGGCTCTATGCCAGAAAACTTGCCACTGCTCTCCAGCATAGGAGGAAGAAAAGGTACTTTGCTTCATTATTAAGGTTTTTATTTTTCTTTGAGATCTATGGTACTTCCAATCAAAGGATCTTTCCCAACATGGATTAGTCTCTTTTCCTCAGTGGATATACTTTTCAGTTGATTTTTCTGCCTAGTCAAACTCAAGGCGGCTGGGCCTTACCAGCAACAGCCTGAGGTCCTTAGACTCGTCCCAACGCTGCATTCTCTTCGTCTTTACTTCCCACAACCCGAGAGTTCAAGAATCCATTCTGGAGACTCTCAGTTTGTCTAGCCAGGCTTTCCAGTTTGAGAGGGACTGCTCGTAGACACCGCCCCAACGTCAAAGGCTAATTTTGTACGGAAATCGTGTGTAGCGGTATATGGTGCCTAGCAGAATGTCTGCTGTGTGGTAGGCGCTCGGGAGAAAGGCAGGTTACAGAGGTCACACTCCAGCCGTACCACACTGCCGGCGCTCTGTTTCCGATCAGCTGATCGGCCGCTCTAGCCTTTACTTTCCTCGCCTGCAAGATGGGCACAATAATGTCAACACAAAGACGATGGGGCGCTGATAGACAATGCGCATGGCCCTGGTGGCACATGCATGCGCGGGCGATGAAGGAGATGCCACAGAGCCTCCTTCTGCTTCAGATGGCTTCTCATGAAGCGGCAGGGACACTGCTGTGCTACCCAGGAGCTTGAGTTTCTACCGAGGGGGCGCCGCTGAGTCATCTCCCACCTTCTCGCTCATCCCACGGGTGCTTTAACCAGCCGAGGCCCAGCGCTGTCCCCTCCCTTTACTCTCTCTACCGACGATCTCATTACCTCTAGTTCTCCCCTTGACCCTGGTTTCTACCGAAAGGTGCCCTTAGGCTGAGTTTACCCCAGTCTAACAATTCCTGCTCTTCTGGGTTGAAAAGGCCTTTCCTAGGTCCCCGCGTCTCCCTGTATGTCAGTGGCGCGGCGCCTTCTCCCGCTGCCTCAACCTCGTGCCTGTTGCTGGGACAGAATACACTGGCGAAAGCAGCTTAAGAGAGGCAGGTTGCTTCAGCCCACAGTTCACGGTACGGTCCCTTATCCTGGGGATCAAGTGAGCAGGAGCTTGAAGCAACTGTCTCACCGCACTCATAGTAAGGAAACACTGGGCACGAGCACTTAGGAGCCCAGGGCCCACAATCAGAATCCTTTCCCCACGTCAGTTAATAGAGGTATCTCCCCCGTAGGCATGGCCAGCCGCCCGTCGCCCGGATGGTTCTAGATCTTGTCAGGGGGACAGCGGAAGCTCACCGCCACACTTTCCTGCGGCTCTCCTGCCCCACACCCTTAGAACTGCTTCCTGATCCCTCCCGAGACACTGGAGGTGGACTGACAGAGAGCACAGAAAGTTGCTCCAGCCTTAGCCACCAGAGCAGTGCTGCTATTGATGACAAAAACATAGCTCGAAGAGAAGGATGGAGCAAAGTAGTTTAGCTTGTCTTGGTCTGCTGCAGTCTATTGTCTTGGGTCCTAATAGGGAGAAAATAAATGAGAAAAGCTGAACTAAGCAAAAATCAACGCGACTCTCCACTTCTAAAGGTAACACAACGACATGTCGAATACTGAAAGCGTGTCCAGACTGGGTGCCGTGACGGTGCAGTTATGAAAAAGCATTTAAGTCATTTGAATTACGTGATCATGAAGTCAGAATGAATAGTGATATCCCGTCGAGGGTGCTGATTATGATTCTTTATGTCGGTATAGACTCACCAACTCTCTCCACCCTCCTTCGAAAGTGTCATTCCTCTTTCTGTGTTTTAAATAATGCCGCATAGTTGGCAGCATCTTGTTTCTCCTGCAAGAACGATGCTTGTCTTTGGCTGTGTGCAGTTCTCTTGACAGAGTGTGTTACTTTGCAGCCTCACTGTCAGGAATGAGGAAAGAGGAGACGCTGCGGGGCGGCCCCCCCACCCCACC